TGAAAGAAACATTTCAACTCTTTCATTTCGTTTGATGAAATTAATGTTTTGTATTATCCTAGTATTATTGATAATACCAATGTATGTTGCATCACTTTGAGCAAAAAGCTTACTATACACAATACCAGCTGTAATGCATATACCTGCATTGCATGCATAATGTAAACATGAGTAGCCATCATTATTAGTAACTAATAATGCTTCATTGCCTTGAATACTAACAATATACTCAACAACTGATGATAAAGCATGCAACGAAGCAATATGAAGTGGAGTCCTACCATATTGATCCTTTACATCAATGAATAATTGATATCAATTTAAAACATACTTAAAAAGCTCAAAACTGTTACTATTCATGGAATGACAGTATAATGTAGTATACCAGAACCTGACATTTACATTACTCAAAATTTTGGTCACACATGCAGCTACAATGTAGTTGAACTACTTCAAACTTTCTACACAGTGTAAGCAAATTATTACTTGATTTTATTATTTTGATCATTATCTCTCTCTTTTTAAATTCAAATTTATTAATTATCATATTTAGTGAATCAAATACACTATTTACAAAAATAAAGAAGTTACTACATAAAAGCTAAAGCTATGTCTACTTATCAGTCCACACTACAATACAACAAGTTAATCATTGAGTATATTAAATTATGTAAAGTTAGCGTAAGTACTGTGTAACTTCAAGTACATTGAAATCGCTTCATATATTGAACTGTATTGATCCTAAATAGAACAATCATCATTATCATCATCATCATCATTATTTTTATACATACCAGTGTAGTGACAGCTCCTGGTTTGCTTCTCCTGACAGATTTAGTTACTTGAAATACATCCACTACACCTTCTGCCTTACACTGTTCTAGAGCAACACTCACTGAACAATAGACTCCTGAACGACTCACTGTATCACTACACACACAATAGTTCATCATTAGTTTATCAGTATAACTCTCTCTCTTACCTACAATGTACCACTACTGGTCCTCCTCCAATCTTTTGTTGTCTGTGTATAACATCATCAATAACTTGTAGGACAGTACGTGGTTCCCTAATGACACCATCTGTAGGCCAGTTAGTCACTTGAAACTGCACCACATCCCATGAAGAACTATCGTTTTTGTCTGATCTGATGTGCAACTTTCTCTCAATATATCCATTGCAGTCTTTGCTTAATAAACATTTTACAAAATATTCTCCAAATTGAACAATCTCTGATTCCCTCCAGTATTGATAGCAGCACTCCTATACAGTATTATTATTATTATATTAATAC